CAAACCAAAACCAGTACAAACACGAAAGTCAGACCCTGATGTACAAATGTAATGCAGCAATCTATATCGCGACATAGCATAAACCTATACTCACAAAACACCCACAGACATATAAGAAGTCACTACGATAACTGTGTAAAGCCGTTCATGACTTTTCAGTAAACTGATATCAATTTCTATATTGTTGTCCCACATTCTGTCAAGGGGGAAATAGGAAATAATGGAGATGATTTCCAACAATGCCAACCATTGATATGCGTAAGGATGCCAAAGAAGCTTCAGCAATCTATTTTCAAACATTCTGTGAGCATCTCTTCACGTCTGGATGCCACGGAGTTTTGAGAAATCCATTCTTCACACAGAAAGAGATAACTACGATGAACTTACATGCAATCAACTCGCAATTGAAGAATTAATTTTAATCACTTTGTATAGTATCTATTCATTCTCTTTTTCATATAGTCCTTCATATGAATAATGAGTATTGTCTTGTGTTTACTTGAATAAAATCTCATGTTTTCGAGCATGATTGTTGAAGAGAGGGCGTTGTATTCGGGAAAGGGACATTTCGCACCAACTTTTCATTACGACCTCCAGTAGCATATGTGCATTACGATCTCCGGACGTATGAAAAAGGACAAGGTGTTTGGAATTAAGTGGACGGGAGTTCGGAATGACAAAAATCAATCAAAATAAAAAAGAACAGGATGTTCGTAATGAAAGATGTTTAGAAGATCGTAACGAACATTGATTTTTAGCGAAAAAAAAAGTGAAATTTGACCGGAGTTTGGCATGAAAATATTGGAAGATCGTAACAATAAAAACACGATGTTGGAAACTGTGTTCATGTTTGCTGTTTTTTAAGATATGTTAAATAATTTACTAGTTTTTATTCTAAGATAGTACACAAGCGACCATTGAGGATGTGAGAGTGAGGGTGAGGATGTGAGCGTGGGTGCGGATCAGTAAATAGAAGACATCACCCTCACCTATATCTTCACACCCTCCCTAGTCTAGTCAATCATTTTTTTGAACGTAGAGACTTTTAATTATATAGTACTTCATTTACACAGAGATTAGTGATAACAATTATCAACATTATGAATAGGTTAAAGCACAAAAGTCGCAAACATCTTGTACACTTGTCATAGCATTATGTGTAGAGACAGAAAGGTAGATGTTGTTTATATAATTACGAACCTATTGTATCAATCATTCTTGATTTTATAAAAAAAAGAAGAAAGAAAAGTCTTTATGACCGTTGCGAATATCAGAATAAATCAGTTACGATCTCCTGGTAAATTGGATCATGAACATCCCGTCTTTTTCGTCCCGATTCTTAAACATTACTCCGCATATAGTAATGATCATTCCATTCCGAATTCCCAGTAACTCCTTTCCAATTTCCCTGTGTTTTCAATTACGATCTCCTGTTCAAAAAGGATTACGAACTCCCGTCGAATATTTGTTACGACAAAAAGTCACTTCCGAACACCCGGACACATGTCCGGGATTCGAAATGACTTGATGCGAAATGTTCGTCACCCAAAATGATTCGATAAATAGATGTCTTCAGATTCCAGATATTGATGAACACTCTAATTTCTTGATAGAGACGTATTACATAAGCATTGCAGGAATGGACGAGTCAAGCTATGCCATTTTTTCGCTCTTTGGGTGTTTATGAAGAAAGTCAGCAACAAACTTTTCATCACACAAGATCTAGTTTTTAGTTTTTATGCGCATAAACCAAAATACTTAGGGTTATCCAAAAGTTCTGGCGTCATTATCTTATTTTCTTATAGAAAGCTTTAAAAAAATTTCTTTTTTTATGAACAGATAGAACGTCTTTCGTTCTATTTTTCTATGCTATTTGATCATTATTCAACTAATATCCTAATAATAAAATTTCGATAAGAACTGTTTTTATTGAAAATTAGCTGGTGGCGTTAGATCTTAACGGGTCGGGCACTTTTGCATTTCACGTTATTATCACTTAATACGTTGTATTAAAAGAGCATAATATACCACAAGATGCAGCGTGAAAAGCTCTACAAATTACATAAGATCACTTATTTTATAGTTGCACTTTTTGTTTTCAAAATGGACAAAACTCGGAGAGTGCAAATTTCGACGCTCCGCAAACGAAATTTTTTTTGGTAAAAAACGACTTCGTTTTTTCTTATCTCATCTTTTTATTACCTAATATGTTTTATTAAAAAAACAAAATACACTACAAGATGCAGCGTAAAAAGCTCTATAACTTACAAAGAACAATTATAAAAAGATGAGATAGGGAAAAACGAAGTCGTTTTTTACCAAAAAAAAAATTCCTTTGCGGAGCGTCGAAATTTGCACGTTCCGAGTTTTGTCCATTTTGAAAACAAAAAGTGCAACTATAAAATAAGTGATCTTATGTAATTTGTAGAGCTTTTCACGCTGCATCTTGTGGCATATTTTGCTTTTTTAATACAACGTATTAAGTGATAATAAAGTGAAATGCAAAAGTGCCCGACCTGTTAAGATCTAATGCCACCAGCTAATTTTCAATAAAAACAGTTCTTATCGAAATTTTATTATTATGATATTAGTTGAATAATGATCAAATAGCATAGAAACATAGAATGAAACACGCTCTATCTGTTCATAAAAAAAGAAAATTTTTTCAAGCTTTCTATAAGAAAAAAAGATAACGACCACAGAACTTTTGGATTGCCCTAAGTAGATTGCACATAAAATAAAATAAAACAATTTATCTAGAATAATCAACAAAATAAGAACAGTGAAATCAACTCTTTAGTTTTACCCAGCGTCTCACGAAAGTAAAAGAAGTACAATGCTTTTGTATGCAAAAAGCTTGCCTTAAACTTGTTGACAAGTAAAAATTCTCGATTACCATATATGTAAATTAAATGCCTTATTGCTCTCACAAGATGCTAGAGTAGAAATAGAAGCATTTTTAATACGTAAAGAATTCGATCTCATTGAAAGACCACTTTGAGAAAACACACCTTCATCTGATACTGAAATGCCCGTAAGACACAATTATTTTAGCATGCTTGCCAAGGTATAGATATTAATTTTCTTTTAAATAAGAGGGTAGATTTGATTAAGGAGAAGATCGCACACCCATACGCTTTGTTGGGAAATAGAAAATGCCAAATGAATGATAGAACGTTTTTGTGATCCAAATACTGTCACACGACAATTATATTACAGCGTAATAAAGAATATGACGCGTGACACAATGCGAAGTTTTCCTTTATTTTATTACATACACGTATAGACCCTTCAAAGATGATTTGAAACCGAAATGCGACAAAAAACGCACATATTCAACAATACGCGTAGGCCATCATTTTCGGCCACATGAATACATAGGTAAAAAAAAAACTCTTCAAAAAATTATTCAGATACAATGTAGTTTATTAGGACGAGGTTTCTAAATAAGTGAGGATTTAATCTTATCAATTAAGAATACTTTTTTTCTAAAAGAGCCGATGAAAACGTTTTCGAGTCAGAGTCAAATCAGAGTCAATCAAAAAAAGTGACTCGAGTCCGAGTCATGACTCAGATTTCTCCATCCCTGAAACATCGAAATCGATGAAGAATAAATCGAGGAAAATGAAAAAATTTCCGGCGATACTTTAGTTACAGATCTCAACGTTGACCGACCCAGATGTTCAGAAACGTTACCATCAGATCATGTGATTAGGAAAAGGAAGGAGGGCGATTCTCCCCTCCTAATTTTTTCCTTATGTTCTGTCTCTCTCATTAAAAGTTTTCTATAAAGCATAAGAAATGTTTCTAACCTTTTGGTGACACAGATTGACTATGTAAAAGCGAAGTTCTTCTAAAGAAAACCGGTAATTTTCTATCAAAAAGAGAAATTGAATCAGATCATATTTTCAAGAATAATATATTAAAAAGAAAGAAGATAAGACAAATGTCAAAAGTATGGTTTGATCGTCAACATATCTAAAAGTGATTTAATAGAAGTTGCACAATACTACGCTTGAAATTCAGCTTAATAGCTGATACCTAAATAGCTTACATTATATCAGCTTTGAACATATTTACTAAATGGATCTAATATATGTGAACGAATTTTTAGTGTAATACAACGAATTTACGCAAACCTTGTCATTGTTACAATGCTTGTAAGTCTTTAAGATAAAGACATACAAAACGCAGCTACTCGTCTCATTTTATTCAGCGTCGTCTGATGCCTGAAAACCACAGTGTTTGGTTCTTTAAGAACCTTCGTACCACAGTCTTTGAGTTTGACGCTTGCTATGGTAGGAAACAAAATAAAGAATACGTTGTTTTTATAATTTTTGCCACTACTGTAACCGTTAAAGTGTGGCTGTGGATGTAGGTGGAGATGAATAGAAGGTTCCATGCACCCTATCCATACCCGCACCCTTTAGACTAGTTGTGACTAGAATGCTCTGAAAATTTCAACTTGAAATTCCATTATTGTATTTTTTGGTAAATATCATGCTATAACATAAAATGCTAGTACAATTGCTATTACTCTTAAGTAAATGTCTAAAAAAGTCCTTATCGTATTGTGATTTTTCATATCTTACTAGAGCCGACTTTGTGCATATAGTGCAAACTGGAAGACGATCGATTACTTGAAACGATTAACTCAACAGTTTTTTAAGTTCAAACGCCAGTTACACCTGCTATGGGAAACGCTATATAGAAAGTTTTTTATTGACATTAAAAAGTAGCGACACCTATTGTATTCTATGAGAAAATCTCCATTAAAATCGATTTTTCGAATAATTTTCAAGCTTATTGTTTTGATATTTTGAAATTAAATTTTAAAAAAACTAAGCTTTATATTAAAGGTCATCCGAGTCTATTTTATTTGTCGCTAATATCCGTGTTTGAGTATACATGTGTATTGTATGCATCATCTTTCGATCGCTTATGATTGACGATGTACTTACTTATCATTATATTTTATTGAAATAAATAATCTTTTCAAAATGGGTGCCCAATATTCATCATTAAATGAGTTAAAATCTAATGAATATCTATCACGTTTTGTTAGTGAGGAAATAATATCAGTTAATGATCCATTTTGGAATCAATTTCTTTCATTTCGTCTTCAATCTCCGTTTACAACGTAATGAGAAAACAAACAAACAAACCGTGGCGTTTTTTTCTTTTGTTTTACTTAATTAAATTCTAATTTTAGTGCTCATTCAAAATTAATTGATGAATCGTGTTCAATATTTCTTCAACAATTTGAAGCTAATAATCCAAAAACAAATAATTATGGAACACTTATTGAGGTGTTCATCCGTTTAGCTACTGCTGTTCGTGATGAATGTGATGAGTATGTTAATTATTTTTTTTTATCAAAAGTAAAAATAGAATTATTATTTTATTGTAGTAATATTGTAACATGGCAAACATATAGTGCTTTATTTATTCTTCGTTGTATAACAAAATATTTTATTGAAATTGATTCGGAACAAAATCTCTATCCATATTTTTTACCACAAGATAATTCAGGTAGGTTTTGAAAGAAGATAGAATTTTCCTAAAAATTATTCTATTTAGATCGAGTATCATTAATGAGTTTTTTTGTTGATAATTTATTTCGAGCGTCAATCGATATATGGCAGAGTGGTAAAATAAAATAAAGACTAAGGATACTGATACAATCCAGAAGATGAAACAACTGATTTCAATCTATAGTTCATTCTGCAATAATATGAC